TTTGTGTAGAAGAGAGAAACATTTCCTTTTATACAAGGCTGAGTGTTTTGGGGTTGGTTATGATGAAGTCAGTGGTGTCCGATTAACACCATTGCTAAGTCTTCACTCAGACAGGACCATCCCTTTGCCTGAATTCATCTCACTGAATTGTTTGCGTATAATAAATTGTTGCTATAGAGACCAACCAGCAGACAGCAGAATGCCCCACACACTTGGAGGTCAGAGCTAAACTGACCAGCGTGGGAGGAAAATGACAGCTAGAGCTTCACTGTCACTTCTTGCTACTGGAGTAGCTGAGCAAGACTCTCCCTATGTGACTCCAGAAGGCAGGTGGCTCTGGTCAGAATCTCAGCTCCTCATGGTGGCACAGGAGCATGGAACAGAAAATAGACAAGAGTCAGAAATAGTTGACCTTATAGTTAGAAGGGGCCTAACACATATGAGAGGAGCCTATCGGAGCAGGTATACATAGTCTTTCAGTCAGCATATCTATTTCTCAAGTGTTAGGTGCTGGATAAACAGTGGGAAGTGGAATGACAAGGTGAGTGACAAGGTGAGTGGTCCTTGGGGACAGACCTTGAAGCTGAGACTTGTAGATCTGAGTTAGATGGGCATGTGGGTTCCAGGGACATTTTTTGTTTTTTTTAGGATGGAAGATACTAAAGTATGTTTGCATGTTGACAGGAGCTCTGTAGTGGAGAGGAGCAGAGTAAAGGTGCAAGAAGGAATATACTTGAAGAGATAGAGTCCCTGAGAAGGTAGGAGGCAGGAGGGAGCCCAGCGCACAGGAGGAAAGACTAGACTCTAACAGACCTAGGGATACTGCTCTTATTGCAACAGGAAGGAAGGAGGAGAGGCTACCGATGCTGGCACCTATGTAGATCCGGTCATGGAAATACCAGGGATTTCCTAATTGGTGACTTCTTTTTCGCATTAAAGCATGAGTCAAGATGCCCTGCACAGAGTGGAGGTGGGAAGCAGTAAGAGGGTGAGGAATCCAGTCCTTGAGGAGGGGAGAGAGGGCTTCCTAGAGAAACACAGCATGATGGCTGTGCGATGTCAGGGGCCCGCTGGAGGGTAATGATCTTGAACTTACAGTGGCACCTCTCTGCATGATTGATGATTTTGCCCCAATAATGCTTGCTTTTAGGTGCAGGCCCAGGGAAGGTGGATAGTAGGGGCTGCTTGGTGTTCTGGGGTTACCAGGAGAGTGTGATGGAGGGTAGAAAAGAAAGGGAGGGGCTGGCCCAGCCACAGCAGTTAAGTTCTCACGTTCCACTTCGAAGGCCCTGAGTTTGCCAGTTTGGATCCTGGGCACGGACCTATGCACTCCTTGTCAAGCCAGGCTGTGGTAGGCGTCCCACATATAAAGTAAAGGAAGATGGGCACGGATGTTAGCTCAGGGCCGATCTTCCTAAAAAGAAAAGGAAAAAAAAAGAAAAGACAAGGGCAGCTGCAAGAGAACAATGCTTGTGGGACCATGGAGTCTAAAAGAAGCTAAGAAGAAAATGAAGACAGGAGAGGAAAGATGAGAAGGAGGAACTGGTGAGTAGTGGATTAGTGGTCTAATGAAACCTGAGGTGCCTTTTTCCATGAGGCATTTAAGCAAGTGAGCTGTAAGTATAGTCAGAGAGTAGGATTATCAATTCACGATTTTGGAGATAGAGATTTCTGGTGAATGCAAAATCTGTGTGTGAGGAAGGGAATTCTGACACACGCTACAACATGGGTGGAACTTGAAGACATTACGTAGAATGAAATAAGCCAGACACAAAGGATAAATGCTGTATGATTCAACACACGTGAGGCACTTAGTATAGTCAAAATCATAGAGACAGAAAGTAGAAGGGTGGATGACAGGGTCTGGGAGGATGGGGAGCTAGTGTTTAATGGGGACAGAGTTTCAGTTGGGGAAGATGAAAAGAGTTCTGGAGATGGGTGGTGGTGATGGTTGCACAACAATGAGAATGTACTTTAAGCCACTGAACTGTACACTTAGAAATGGTTAAGATGATAAATTTTGTATTATGTGTATTTTACCACATTAAAAGAAAAATTCATGTGTGACCATAGGGTGGGTGGCCGAGGAAAAAGTCCTCGGCAATGAGGTGCATTCAGAGGTGGAGGTTCTGAGAGTTGGGCTGGGGAGAGAGGCTGCGATCCAGAGCTTGAGTCTTTGTGAGTTAGATGCATGACCGGGAGGCAGGTGGAAGACAGCCGGGAGGAGAGGAGAGGGTGGTATTTTGGGGCGGTATGAGCATGGGGGAGCAGGTTTGACAAGAGGGCTGGGTTTGACAAGTGGCGATCTGGATGTTGCGATGGGGGGTGAGGAGGACTCCCACCCCACCTCAGCTCTAAGATACTTAGGGGATGAGAGAAGGAGCAGTGCCAGTTGAGAGGTGGCGGGAGAAATAGTGTCTTTGGGGGAAACCAAGTCTCAGTTAAGGCCAGGAAGCAGAGGGAGCAGTTTAAGAAGAGACTGAGAATCTTGGGATGGCCCAGGGTGCAGTGGGAGGAAAGGGGTGGTGGTGGCTGTGGCGCGCTTGGTTCAACAGTGAGTTCAAGTTGAGGAGACACATGGGGTGTTAGCCGCAATCTTCTGGTGCTGAAGTGTCGAACCAGGGGATTTGAGGCGTGATGAGATGGGTTGCAGTCCCTGGAAGTAGGATGGTGGGAGCTCAGGGCTAGCAGTTTTGTCCAGAAGGTTCTGCTTCCAGGCCTGGCTGTGGAGGGGATATAGAGGTCTTGGTGAATTCTGTGGTCCCAGAGCACTAGAGGTGGGCCCCCACTCTCCAGTCCTAGGCCCACACCGGACATCATGGCTTGACCATGACGCCATTTCCCAATAAGCTCAGATATGAATTTAGAGAACACAGTTCCCCAGAGAGCCAAACCAGGAATGTATTTACCAGCCCTGACAGGCTGACCTGCTCATTTTCTGGATGAGGAAACTGAGGTAAAGAGAGGACAAATGATTTTCCTAGACCAGGCTGAGATGGAAATTCAGATTTCCTGTTTTCCACATCACTGTGGACCATCTGCCAGCTCAGGGCTCCAGTGGGGGCACAGGAGAAGGGCTGAGCATGCCCATGAGCTGCCCTGCAGAGTTACAGTAGAGAAGAAGCAGGCAGGGAGACAATTCATGAAAGGAGAAAGGATGGGAACGATGAGGAGGGGACGATGGGACATCAGTGAGAGGCCTCAGGGAACCCAGGCTGGCTCGGTGCCCTCTCATTGGCACTTGAGGCTGAGGAACGTGTCAGACAGGCAGCCACCTTCCCTTCCCCTTCCCCAGAAAGAACAAAGGCTCTGAGATGTGTGGGTGGACTAGTTCAGCTTTGAGCACCGGGTCATTGTGCAAAAGGGGCAGAAAGGAAAGCAACTGTGTCTGCTAATATTTGGGAAGGCCCTGAGAATGGTCTGGGGTGGCAGAAGCCAGCTCCTCTCCCTCCTGGCTGGAGATCTAAAAACCACGAAATGAACTATAAGGAAACCTCTTCTGGGGGGTCTTCAGCAGCGGAGGAGGGCGGTCAGGACAGGGATGCTTAGGGAACTTGATAGTGCTACGGAGGGCTGCTTTTAGGCTGTCATGATATGTGTGTTCCACGCATGGTTGAAAACAAACAGGGCTGCCTCGGAGATGGATTTACAGTCTTCTATGCCCTCCAGCTCGGAGCAGCCTCTGGATTTCTGAAATGTCCTGGTCACTGACAAGAAACGTCCCTTGGTTTATCTAATTAAATCCAGATCTTGCAGAACTCGCCTCAGGGGTGGAGAGCCATGGGGAGTGCGACGTCTTGGAGACGTCCCAACCCCTGATCCCAGGGGTGAGCTGGACTCCCATTCTCTCTCTGTTCCATTAGTCTTCCAAGTCCTGTTGAGTACAGCTGAGGAAGTCCTGGGTGGAAAGCTGTGAGCCTCTGCAGGACACAGAAGCTGGAGTTCAGGTCCCGGAGTTCTTTGGTGCCCATCTGGCAAATACTAAGTAGACCGTGTGTCCCCATCCAGTAGAGATGCCTAGGAGCTCCTTCCTTCTAAGGAGCTGCATCCTTCCTGTCTCCTCCCCTGGCCATGTGTTACGGGCTGAATTCTCTCTCCTCCCACCCCAACATGTACGCCGAAGTCCTAACCCCAGTGCCTCAGAATGTGATGTATTTGGAGAGAGGGCCTTTAAAGAGGTAATTAAGTTAGGATGAGGTCACTAGGGTGGGCACTAATCCTATATGACTGCTGTCCTTATAAGCAGATGAGATTAGGACATTGACATGTACAGAGGGAAGACCGTGTGAAGACACAGGGAGAAGTTGGCCATCTACAAGCCAAGGAGAGAGAGGCCTCGGAAGAAACCAACCCTGCTGACACCTCGATCTTGGACTTCCAGACTCCAGAATTGTGAGAAAATAAATTTCTGTTGTTTAAACTAACCAGTCAGTGGTGTTTTGTTATGGCAGCCCGAACAGACTCACATGCCGGGTCTAGGTTACCTTATTCAGTGGACAGAGGGGCTGTTGCTTAGCATGCACCCCTCTCCAGGAACTGCAGGGTAGGGTGTTTGGCCCTGGAGGGCTGTCTGAATGGAGCTGTCTGAGGGAGGAGACACGTGCTTCCTGACCCTCCCGGTCCACACTGAGCACCCATCTTAAGCCTGTCTCCAGGAAACTGCAAGAAGGTGCTATGGAAAAGGTCAGGGTCAGAAACATGGATCCTGTTCCTCGCTGCCTCATGTCCAGTTCTGTGTGACAGGGAGGGATGAATGGCTGCCCTATGGCTGGAGTCGGTACATTTTGGATCCCTTTAAAAAATGGAAACAAAAAATTTAGCCTGTCAAACCACAGAAAGCAATACAGGCTTTTTACAGCACAGCTCAGGCATCTCCAGTCCTTTTCAGCACAGCCAGACACACGTGGTCTCTGGCTGAGCCTATGGGGGACGGATGATTTACATAAGAATAGAAGTTTCGGGCTGGACTCAAGGAGGGGCCTGTGCCAGTGGGGAGACATCCTGAGCAGCTATGCAGAGCCTGAGTAATCGAGCTGCCTTGTCACAGCAGCTGGCCGCTGACCAAGCCCTGGGCGGAGCAATGACTAACTGAGCCTCCTCTGGGAGGGAGGAGACAGTTAAAATCTTGTGGCAGCTGTAATCACCGAGGCATGGTTCTCCTGTCTGACTTGGGCTGCACAGAGCCTGGGCTAAGGGGCAGAGGAAGGACGGCTTAGGCGGCGGAGACTTCCAGATGGCTGAGTTGGATCTGATGGCTCCGGGGCCACTGCCCGGGGTCACTGCTCACTCTCTGGTCACTCTCAGCCCAGACCTTGGGTCAGCCAACCCGGCAGAAGAAGAGGACATGGGCTCCCTGGGGAGTCCCCATGGGGAGGCTGAGGGACAGGGCAGCAGCTCTGCATCGCACGGGGGTCCTGGTGTCGAGGGGGAGGGGGAGATCCTGTGTGACTTCTGCCTTGGGGCCAGCAGGGTGAGGGCAGTGAAGTCCTGCCTGACCTGCATGGTGAATTACTGTGAGGAGCACCTGCGGCCACACCAGGAGAACAGCAAACTGCACAGCCACCAGCTGACGGAGCCGGTGAAGGAGCGGGATCTGCGCACCTGTCCTGCCCACCACAGCCCGCTGGTCGCCTTCTGCCACCACGATCAGCAGTGCATCTGCCAGGAGTGTGGCCAGAGTGAGCACAGGGGCCACCCCTCAGTTTCCCTGGATGCTGCCCGCAGGGACAAAGAGGTGAGTGCTGGGGTCCATCTGGGAGATGGAGATGAGGAGACGATGAGCCCAAGGAGAGGCCGGGCCACCACTGCTCCTGGGGCTGCCTCTTTCACTTCAGGGCTCTGAGTTCACCTGAAAAAGAGTTTAGCCGTAGCACCTGGCTGTTGGTCCAGCATAAATATCTGTTGCACTTGGTTCTGGAAACTAAAGAAGGTCACTCTGTCCCCATCTGGGTCCACTGTCCCTATTCTCCTTCTACCTTGGTCTGTGTCTCCTCAGGCCTGCTAGTTTCCTGCTATTTCTTACCCACCTTTCAGGAATTGATATGTGTTTGGGTGTGGCGTGCAGAAGTTGTGGGACTTAGGATGGTGGGTTTTCCCTCCAGCTGGATCTGGGTGTCAATTAATAAAATGTAAGCCTTAGCAGAAATTCAAGAGTAAAGAATCTAACCCTTCCCCTAATTTCTCTTTTTGTCTTTACCCCAAAACAAAAGATCAGTAGAAAGTGCTCCTCTAAAGTTACTGAGAGTGAAATCCAAGAGCTTGAAAAGTGCTAAGATAGCATAGAATTGGAAACTTACATTCAGATACGACCTCAAGGACGGTTTACCTCAGGGAAAATAAATGTTCCTCATCAGATATCGGGTCAGGAGAGACTGAGAAAGACCATGCTCATAGCCTGTAATTTTATTCCCATCAGATAAGGGAAACTATTTCTAGAACAACTAGCTTTTCTTTGCCCGAAAGCTGAGAGCCTAGAGAATTTCTTGGGAATGGACTTAGCTGCTTTATCTGCTTTCTTTCTCACACCTTGACTTTCCAGGAGCACTCTGTTTCTCAGTAGGGAAATGCAGTTGGCTTTTGCCCCACATTCCTTATATTCATACTCCTGGCAGCCCCGTGTCTGCACTGCGTGTGGCCGCAGGCCCTTGGCAACTTCTTGGCCCTGTCGTCCTGGGCAGCAAAGGAAAGAGGTGTCTGGGAAGGGCAGTTTACTTGCCAGGGTCTTTCTTCCACGCCCTTTTTTAGGCATACATTTTATCCAGTGTTAGTGAGAATTGTTCTGGAAAGCTGTGTGTTCCAGATGTCAATGACTCAACGTTTCCAGCTCTAAAACCCACTTGTTAACTGTTTCCAGTGTTTCCTGTGTCAGGGAATGTCCTGGGAATGTCAGGAGAGCAGTTCCTACTCAATTCCCTACTCTCATAACCACAGAGGGGCTCCATATTGACAGATAGACAGATCAAAGAAAAAGCTCCATGCAGTGGAAGAAGTTAGTCTTTCTTGAGCATTGCCACGTGCTAAATGCTTAGCATGGATTTTCCCATCCAGCCCTCAAATAACTCTGTGAAGTGGCTACTCTTTTTATCTCCACCACATTTGTCCAAACTCATCCAGATGACTAAGTGATGCGGTAAGGAACTGGAGCTTCTGGAAAGCTACCCTACTGAAGGAACACAAGGGAAGGACCCCAAGATCACGATATTTTCACCTTGCTTTTTTTGCACCAAAACCCTGCCACATGTATAATAGACATATTAAGACAAAGTGTACTGCTTTTCCTTTTGGGCATAATATCTGAATTTCATTATAACTGACTGGTCAAGTGATGCATATCTATGCTGAAAAACGGTCTCCACCAAATACCGCAACAGATTATGCCAGGGAGAGGTCTCCTTCCCATCCCGGATCCCCCGTCTTCCTCCTGAGAGACAAACAGCACCACCTACACTTCCTTCTGTTTCCTTTCAGAGACGTTCTATGCGTGTAGCAGCACAGATACAATATGAGTTTTAAACGTAGTGTAAATGGATGTATTACAGAGACTTAGGGGAACTGTATTTCTGAGCAGGAAAGCCCGTGTAGAGCATGTTCTGAAGCCCAAGGTCAGACGTCCTGGGAGGGAGCTGTGTGAGGTGAAGTAGGGACAAGGGGGTCAGGGGCTCTGGGGCAGGTTGTGGTGCTGGAAAGCAATCATGGTTATAGGTACAATGCACCAGCCCCATACCCCAGATTTTTCGTGATGGCCCCCGTTCACAAGCTCTGCTTTCTGGTCTGCATGAGAGAGCTCTTGTCCTTTCCATCCTGTGTCCTTGTTTTCGGCTCAGAGAGCAAATTTACTCTGTAAATGCAGCCACACTCTAGGTGGCTCTGCCAAAGCTTAGGAGCCTAAAAGGTTTCTTGCAAGGAGCCCGAAGAGACCAGCCCAGAAGACATAGTACTTGAAGAGGCTGAAACAGCCACCAGGATTATTCTGAAAGTTTTATGAGACACGTTAAGGCTCCAGAAGCTCACTATTGCCTTCAGCCAGCCCAAGCCTGCTGGAGTCATTTGCTGAAGGTCACTTTGGGTCGTGTTAAGGACTAATTACTCAGGCAGGCGTGTTGTGCATAGGAAACTGCAAATGGCAGGTCAGCCATGAGGACAAGAGCAGTCAGGATCCTGCATTGGGTCCGCAGAGCAGCCGATCGCTCAGTTAACCCATGAGCCTTTTTGGCAGCTCCCGTGGTCTCTAGCTGTGCCAGTGGGCAAAAACTCTGTTTGGGTTTTGGGAGTTCTGGGTGTTCTTTGATTATTTGTTCTACTCTACTGGGCTTCCAGAGCCTGGCTCTTCCTAACGGGGACCTCGGCACTTCCCTTTGCTCCAGGCCAACTTCCTGAGACCCCCTTCATTTTTAAGAGCAGAAGAGCAGCTGGTCTTAACTCCCCTTGCCTTCTCTGAATCTCAAACTTGCTGTCGTGGAAACGAGACCACGTGCGTGCATGCCTGTGTAGGTTGTAAAATTGGTACTCCTGTGACTGCTTCCTGTTTGTTCTGATCCACAAAGTGTACGTGGTTCTTTTCTGTTCTTCCTCAAGTTATCACGCGTTATTGAGTGCTTCTCTTGGGCTAAATGTGAGGCTACACTGTCTGTCCTCGGGCAGCGTGCACTTGAATCAGGAGTCCAGGTGTGTCCCATAGCTCCTTGGAGGGCCAGAGGGCCCAGGCATGTCCCATAGCTCCCTGGAGGGCCAGAGGGCCCAGGCAGTGCAACTGCAGCATGTTCCAAGGAGGGAGCGGTCACTGGAAGTGAGGGCAGGGTGCCATGTTTGAAGGAGGGAGGATGTGAGCTGGGCCCTTTCTTAGATCCTGAAGTCCTTTACTGACAGGTCATTACATTCAACTTCAGCATTGGTTCCAGGAGGCTCAGGACTGGGTGCTGTCCCTGGACGTAATTTCCATGTAGAGCAGGAGCCAGGTTTCTGAGAGCCACAAGTGTCCATGCTTCTCTGGGGAGCTGCTAATAGCATTGTTCATAGCCCATTTGCTGGTAGCCAAAAGGCAGATGATTTGAGGCCACTCAGGAAAAGAATTTCCTCTAGAGGTTCTGAGGAATGCCTTGGGCTCAGTGTTATATAACTTGTTTTTCTTAAACACTCTAGCAGGCTGCATGTCTTTCAAGAGCAGGGAGGGTGTCTTATTTGACTGGACTGGTATATGGTGGGTTCTCACCAGTTGACTGAGGAATGAAGTCAGGGGCCAGGTGGAACCCTGCTGCTACCACGCTCTAGAAGGGCCAACAGCGCGTGGTTGGAAATACAGAGGAACTGACACTATCTGGAATGTTCTTCTCTCTTCTCACTCCCTCTGCTATTCCTATTTGCATCTCTAACCCGACCTTTGGCCACCAAGCTCTGGTGCCACCTTTGCCCTGTAGATAGAAGCAAGAACAATTGTGTTAACATTTTCTTGTGGCCTTGCAGCAGAGGAGACACTAAATCATCTGACTAAGATTATACAGCCAGCAAGTGGCAGGTCTTAGGACTCCAAATATTGTGCCCTTTACACGACATTCGTCATTATCCTGCGGAAGTAGGTTGGATCTCTGTGCCCTGCAGTGTAGGGCTGTCTACACATGTTGACACCACTGTCCTGCTTTTGTGTAGGGCCCACCCTGACCTGAGACATGTGTATGGATGACATCTTGGGAAACCTTGGAGCCAGAGTCTGAGGCACCGTGTTATTTTCTAGTAACAAGAATATCTGGAGATACTGGTCTCCCAAAGTGGCCCCACCTTTTTGGTAATTGGGAGTGCGTTCCCTTGGGGTGACTCACTTGAAGAGAGGTCCCCATTAGGTACTTCAGAGTCCTTTTCTCCTTTTATGGCAGTGTGCAGACTTCGGAGTAAAGCCCCCTCGCCGGATGCTCTCGGGTGTCTCCCTATGGCTCTGGATCATGCTGGGGTCAACTGCTTTAATACATTCTCATGTCCATGCCTGTTGCTAGGGTGTGTTCAGTTGTCTCTTCCACCGCCTTTGAACAAGTGGCTCGTGTTCCCCCCTCGCCTGGAACAGGTCACTGTATAAGCCTGTTAGATAGATCAGGATTCCATAATTGCCAGATCCTCACCCCTCCCACTCTCCCTCCTCACTCCTGGGCCTCAGGTCTCAGGTCTCAGTCGTAGGAGGTCCCTGGGGCTCCCTCAGCCCCAAGTCAGTGCCCTACAGCCTGGGCAAATGTTACCTGCCTTCTGCAGATTGAGGCAAATGCCCTGCCTGCCTCGGTTTCCCTCACTGGGAGTCCCGGAAGTGCCCCAGGCTTCCGTGGGAGAAAGGAGAGACACTGCATTCGTGTTCTCTGAGTTCTGTTAGGGCATAATGATTCATGGCTTCCACTGCAGACATAACCTATTAAAAGCAGTGAAAACTATTTTTTTTTTTTTTCTGTCTCATGCCCTTGTGGAAGTAGGAAAGTGACAGGGCCTTTGAAGTTTGCCAAGGCTTAGGTTTTATGCCTCAGCACACTTCTTGGCAGAAAGCGCTCAAGGAGCCCCAGGAACGAGAGTGAAGCGGGGCCGTGGGGTCAAAGCAGGCAAACCTGAGGTTCTCAGGCCAGCACTTGCCTCTGCTGGGAGGGTTCACTCTGCCTGCCTCCAGGAGAGAGTAAGAGCATGTGATGGAAAGTGGCCGTGGCAGCAATAATAATAATAAGAAGAACAGTGATGGCAACACTGACACTGATGGAGCACTCACGATGAGCCAGCTACTGTACAAAGTTCTTGTTAACACACTCCATCTCCTTCGACCCTCACAATAACCCTATGAATTAGGCACTATAGTTATCCCCATTTCACAGGTGAAGGAACGGAGGAGTCTGGAGACGTTGAGTAGATTTTTCCGAAGTCTCAGCTGCTAAGCAGACAAACTGGAATCCCCGTCACCAGCTCCAAGCCTGTACTCCTTGTTAGGCTATTCTGGGGTTGGACTGCCTGGGCTCACCTCCACTGAGGGAGTGTGTGACCATGGCTAGGTGGCTCCATTTTATCATCTGTAAAATGGAGATAATGATATTTTCCTAATATGGGGGTGGCCAGGGTGATATGAAGTAATCCATATAAATGCTTGAAATGATGACCAACACAGCACAATGTACGTGCTCACCACATTTTAGCTGATCTGTGCTGAGAGCAGCCCCAGGAGGAGGCTGGCACACTGCTGACCCTTTGCGCCTCCACTTAGGGTGCTCTAGGCTGGTTTCTGAGAGCAGCTTCCGAGGTCAAACTTCCCTTCCGTGGCAGAAGGGCAGATAGTGCCATTGCTCTTGGGGACCTCATGTGTGCACTGGGCTCCTTCCTCCTTAATGCTGTCCTTTCCTCTTCCTAGGCTGAGCTTCGGCGCACCCAGTTAGACCTGGAGCGGAAGCTGGAGCTGAATGAAAATGCCATCGCCAGGCTCCAAGCCAACCAGAAATCTGTTTTGGTAAGGCTGTTCTGGGTCACGTGTGAGGCTTCGGCACACCTGGCTGCTCCTGCAGGCTCAGCCAGGCCCATCCAGGGCTGTGGGATGGGGGCTGCAGGCCCAGCCTCCATATCCATGGGCTTCTTGGGGTATCTCAGCAAATGAGCATTGTAGGTACAGATATGATCAGCTATGCCATGGGGTAGCCTCACCTTGCTGTCGGAATTTGCTATGAAATTAGTTTAAGTTTCAAAATTGACAAGTGATTTACTTTTTAATAGTACAGAGTAGAAGCAAGTCTGGTCCTGTAATAACAGCATTCTTATCCTTGCATTTGCATGTGCTCTTTTGACCTGGACAAAAGGATGCGTGGAGGAGTGACGGGGTGTTTAGCTAGAGCTCCAGGAAGTATGCATAATCTTGGCTTCTTCCAACCTGAGAGGATGTTCTACATGTGAATTTCACCAGTCCTATGTCCTGGCAGCCAGAGAAGAGAGTTGAGACTTGCTGGATTAGTGGATGGTACTTGAGAACACCAATGGTGTGCCAAGCTGCTTAGTTTTAGTCTGTCTGGTTTATGGCCACTTTCCACATAAACTCTAAGTAGACCCAAATGGTTTCACAAATGCTTCTGATTAGTGGCAAGCCAATAACCACCACGCAGAAGAGAACACAAAACACCTACCCTATGGCGGTGGGTCAGCAGCATCATTTTTGCATACCAAGAATGATTCCATCCATCCACCCACCCATCCATCCATATCTAATACGTGTATCCATTTCAACTTAATTTCCTGCTCCTCAGTGTTTACAACTAATTAGCTGCTGAAGGATGAACACCTCTTTTCTACCCACATAATCTTATGAAAAGAAGAAAAATAATTGTCCCTTGAAAGCTTATAAACCTACAGAGAGTGTTGACTTCCAGGCTCAAGATAACTGGGAGAAGCACGTGGAGCATCTTGTCTTTTTCCAGATCTTTAATTTTCAGACACTTTGATCCCTACTCAGTTCGTCTCGTGATTGCATGGTAACTGGGGAAGGTAGTCATCACAATGGCCACCATATACAAGGGACCTGAAGACACAGAGAGAGATGACAAGACTTATCTGGGTCCTTAGATTGATGGAACAGGACAACCCGGGATTGTTGCGTTGACAGACATGTGCACCATCCGTCACCTCTTTAGACCATTAATTTTGGTGACTTTAATATCTTTGTGGCCTGTCCTTTCTGTATTTTTATTTGTCATCATTTGGGCAATAAATGATATCCTTCATACATTTCATTTATATGCAAGGAAAAAGTGTTTCTCCATAAGAAGGTCTGGGAATGAGAGGCCACCTATGAAAGCAGAAGAGTCAATCCAGCAACATCATTTGAGGCCTCCTTTCCACTACCCTCCCTCTGGAGGCCTCAGTTCTGGAGGGGAGTTTGGACCTGAAGTTTGTCTGTAGACTCTCGCCTTTCAGCCTCATGGCATTCTGCTTCCATGAAGAACCTACATGTCATAATTATAGAGAGCAAATGGACTCCAGTCCTTTCCCACAACACCCTCACACTGGTTCCCATGCCTCGTCCTGCTCCTGCTTTCTGGCAGTGATCGGGAGTGGGCAGTGGGTACCCGGTGACCCCATGGCTCATGGAGCCTGGCCACCTGGAGCCTCACCGGGCAGGGGAGGGTGGGTTAGTGAGGGAGCTAGAATGTGTTACTTAGGTCAGAACCTGGCTAAAACACCAACAGCAATACTTCCCCCAAATTCAGTTATAAGCAAAACTGACCTGTCTCCTGAGACATTTCTCAATCTTGACTTCTTTGCAATATTGAAATATAATTTGACATTTAGATTTAAATCCAGCTATGATTAATTTTCTCAGAATTCACAGAATTTACAGTATAAGAAGGCAACACTTGTCAGTTGACTCAGAAGTTGCTAGGAAGACTTGCCATCTTTCTCTTTTGGTCGCCTGCTCAGCAGCATCCTGTGTATTTAGTCCATCGTGGCTGGAGGTGGTGCTCCTTGACCAGTACCTGCAGTGACCAGGGGCTAACTGTCCCTTCTGTGGTCCTGGAAGGGCTTCAGTTTAAAGGGCTGAGCTGGAAGTTCTTGCTCGGCGACCCCCACAGTGGTGCAAGCTCCGCTGAACCACCCTGCTTGTCCTAATGAGTTTGCCAGTGTCCACAGCCAGAGGTCTGGCTGTGCCTGATGCACCGCCATGCGGCCGCCACGGGCATCCCCACACCCCCCCACCCCCCGCCCCGCCCACTGAGTGGCCCTGGAGAAGGGTGATTAAAGGAGCAGGCTCTGGAGGCAGACTGTCTGGGTTCAAGCCTTCACTGTGTGATCTTGGCAAATCACTTAATTTGGCAGTGCCTTGGTGTCCTTATCTAAGAAATGGGGACCATAGCAGTACCTACATTTTAAGGGTTGCTATGAGGGAATCTGTGTGAAGTGCTCGGAACAGTGCCTGCACATGATAAGTACTTACTAAGTGTTGGCCATTGTTATATTACTATTTTATTAAATTAAAAAAATGTGACCAGACAGGCAACAAGACCCCAGGAGGAACAGAAAACAGTCCCTGGAGGGGCTGCTTAGAGAGCTCTCAGAGGGGATGGGCATGGGTGGGGACAATGGGGAGACTGAGGCAGGCAGAGAATGGGCTCTGGGCCGTGCAGTGGGGGAGAAGGGAGAATGAACAAAGGAAATTGTATCCAAGACCATTCTGTGAAGTTTAACAACGTAATGAGTGTCTGCACAACGAGATGAAACCGGACGCCGTCAGAGGGAGCTGTTGGCACCAATACTTAAGAACCCCTGAAGAGAAGAAGAAACCATCTACATCTTGGACTGATGTCAATATGCTCTCAACTGAAGACATTTATAAAGCCTGTTCACCCTGTGAAACGATAGAGTCCACATGTGCAAGTGCTTTCATGCAAATCCTTGATATTGAGCCCACAGATTTAGTTTTCTGTTTTATTTGACTGTTCTGCACAGGTAGGTTCATCCTGCTGCTCGGGTGCTGAGGGCACCTGCACCAACCCAAACACTTGCTGCCTGCAGGAGACACCGTAAGCTCAGAGGTGCTTTCGGCCCCAATGGACTCAGTGGGCAGTTTAACCGGACATAATGAAATGCTGAAAAAGCTATTTCATCCTACTGATTTGTACAAAGAAGCTGAATTATTAATTTACCACAAGAAATACAACTATCAAATATACAGAATACGTGCATTGTCCTGGTAGGAAAACTGATTTCAGAAATTTGTACAGCTGCTCCAGACTGTCAGAGCTGGAAGGGGTCTCAGAGATCACAAAATTCACTCTCTCCTCAGATGGACCAGGCGCTAAGTGAATGACTGATAAATAAATACTTACACCCTGGAGAGTAAATCCTTTTTTCCAGGAACTCAGGGTTCATATGAGAACAAAAGCTTCCTTTTAAAATAGAAAATTGCTCCCTAATTTATGGGTTTCTCAGGTTTACATTTTTGTGTGTCGAGCTTTGATAAAGTTGGATGTCTCGGTAACGGGTTCTTCGCTGCCCCCCACCAGGTGTCAGTGTCAGAGGTAAAGGTGGTGGTCGAGGAGCAGTTTGGGGAACTCCTTGCGGCCATGAGGAAGGCCCAGGCTGACGTGATGCTCTTCTTGGAGGAGAAGGAGCAAGCTGCTCTGAGCCAGGCCAACGGCATCAAGACCCACCTGGAGTACAGGAGTGCAGAGATGGGGAAGAGCAAGCAGGAGCTGGAGAGGATTGCTGACATCAGCAACACTGTCCTGTTCCTGGAGGTACCGGAGGGGGGAGGGGGCGGGGGAGGGTGTGTGGGGGAGTTTTGGGGTCGGGGGGGTGGAGGCAGAGGTGTCCACAGGACTAACGCCAGGGAGCACCCTCACTTTGCTAGGCCTGTGGCAGATGTGGGAATGGAAGTGTTCTTTGATAAATGGGGTGCGTAGGGAGCTGTGGGGACAGAGAGGAGCAGGTCTGGATTCATAGGAGCACAGCAGTGCAGGATGGGTAGGGAAGACTTCCCAGAAAGGGAGGCTGGAACCACGTCGTGGAAGATGAGAAATGTTCAAGGAGAAGTTTGGTCCAGGAGAGGGAACAGCATGTGTGCAGGCAGAGAGGTTTGAGAAAGCATGGCTGATTTGGGGAACTGAGGCACCTTCACAAGGATGGGGTGAGGGATGCTGGGCGCATAGTGATGGGAGATGAGGCTGGGCCAGGCAGGCAACTGGCTGTGAGAGAAGTTCTTCATCATGAAGTCACAGAAGCCAGTGGAGGACTTCAGGTGGAGAGTGATGAGATCAGATCAGTGTGCTTTATACACCCCTCCAACAGCGTACGGAGGCTTGCCTGGCGGAGGGGAGACTGGAGACCTGCTGCCTTGCTGAGAGGGCTGCGTGTGCAGGGGTGACTGAGGGGGGTCCAGCAGGGGAAATGGGACTTTTCATTACGATGTGCCATCAGGCATTAAGCCACAGGCCATGAGAGCTGGACCCGAGAACATGAAATCTTGTGGGGAAGGCACACTGGGTTGGGCATAAATTCTGTCATCTGTCACTAAATAGTTGTGTAGTTTTTAGCAAGTTGCTTAACCTCTCTGGGTCTCAAATTCCTCATTTATCAAACAATCAGGTCAGAGTAAGTAATTTCAAAGCTCATTCAGATCTATATTCCTAAATACAAATAATTTTTCTTGGTTGCATTTTTGAAAAAAATTCCTTTCTAGTTGCAACAAACATAAATGTTTACTGTGGGGCAAAAAAGCTTGGAAAATACAGAAAAATAGAATGGGAAATAATCACCCCTACTGCCACCACCCAGAGACAACCGTAGTCCACCTTGTGAGGAGTGGGCAAAAGAGGAGGAGAGGATGAGGAGACAGGAAGACAAAAATACGGACAGCATGTCTCTCTCTCCATCAGTTCCTTTGCTTTTCAACATCAAAACAGGAAGAAAATATGAATAAAAATTTGGCTTTCCATGTCATGAGTTTCCCCAAAGAGTATATAAATTTCTCTCTATTTTTGTTTCTCCTTTTATAACTTTAACATTAAAACTTTAATCTGTATAAAATATATTTTAGTTTAAGATAACATTTATTTTGGTTAAAGATAATTTCTTTCTCCCCAAATCATTAGCCAGCTGAAATGACAACGCCCATCCTTTTTCCCTCCACTGGTTTAAAATGCTGCTTTTATCATGTATGGTACTAAATCTACATATGGCATTAAAAAATGTTTATCTAGCTTTCTTTCTACGAACTCTCTGGTTTGGGCTTTTCTTCTCTTTCACTGATCCATCTAATCATTTTGCTGCAACTGTTTTCCTCACTAAGATTCCCTCTCTACCCAGCCTGCTCTCTAATGCTTCAGCTGCGCTAGGATTTTGATAACGTGTTCCATCTGAAAGCAGCCTTTCCCGATCACCACGTGGCTTTGAAGTGTAAGGGACTTATTGTGATCATCTATGTGAAGACACTTTTCAAACTCTGAAGCACACTATGAGAATTAGACAAAAGTGTGTATTGGATGGAACCGATAAGGAAAAGGCAGCGCTCCTGCCTGAGGACTTGTTTGTGGATCTTCTGGGTGCTGTACCAGGTCCTCCATTCCCTATGGTGGCTTGTGTTTAAATTATAAAAAAAAAGTCCTGAGGGAATGACTGTAGCAGGAATGTCACCTCTGTTTGGGCTGTTGGCATAAAATGTGTTTTTGTTCTTTGGTTCCCAGTCTGGGCTGTGTATTCGAACATGGCCATCTAGTATCTCTTGATTTTTAAAAGCCCACTTTCCCAGTTTAAAAAATAAATAGTTTCTCTGTTGTTAGACTCTGAGCTGGATACTCACATTACCATCTTTCTCTGTGAAGTGCACATCACCACTGATGAGGATTATTTTAGGCTGGTTACTTTTAAAACTGCAGATGAGAAGGAGGCTCTGAGGAGTGGAATTCGCTTGCCCTTTGATGAGAGACATTGGAATTTGTGAAGGAAGTCTCCATCTGTGGGGGGTGTCTCCCTCTTTGCACCAGGAGGAAGGTGGGATGGCCTTATCTCTGGGAACTCTTAATAGGGAAGGCAAGGACTTAAGTTGTTTACTGTCTGGCAACCTCATGTAATTGACCCCCCCCCCCCCCAACATCCTCCTTTGTCTTTAGCTGAAGATAATATTTAAGCGGTGGCTTCTGCCATTTACTTAATCCGGTTTGATTCTTATCTAAAAGTTATAGGACCACCCAATAACCAGACCCTACCGGCACTGATACCATTTTAACAACTTTGTTTTACATATTCTTTCCTTTGTCTTGCAAAGAGATAACTCACATACCTATGCCTTAAATTTAGCCCTACCCTCAACCCATGTTTGCAGCAGCAGCGGCAGCAGCAGCTGCTCCTGCCCGTGGGTCCTGTCCCCACGCAGCAGCTCTGACTGCCCATGGGTCCTGTCCCCATGCTATTCCACACTATTCTCTGAATAAAAGAGCACTACTGCCAGACCTTGAGAGTCCAAGAAATCTTTCTTTCGACTCTTTGGCTCACTGACCCTGCATCAACCATCAACCCCTTTTACAGACGCAGAATGTGACATAATGAGGAGGGCAGCCCAGTTTAAGAAATACAGAAACCAAGGCAACAAGTTCTGCTGTTTCCTTTCGTGCAGGAGTACTGCAAGTTCAAGAACACCGAGGACAGCGCCTTCCCTAGTGTTTACATAAGACTCAAGGATAAGCTCTCGGGCATCCGCAGGGTCATCACAGACTCCACTGCGCACTTAGTCCAGTTGCTGCAGAACTACAAGGAAAAGCTCCAGGAGTTTGCCAAGGAAGGTGAGGAGCTTTCTGGGCTGTGGAATGTGGTATCTCAGAGTGAGTGATGGGGAAGGAGAGAGAGCCAGGGGAGGGAGGGTGAAATCAGGGGAGAGTCTCATTTTCAAAGCTATGCTTTGGCTAGACCACGTTGCTAATGGGTGCATCTCGATGATGTTATTTTACGATTGAGACCCACAGAAGCTGAGTTAGTTACCTTGTGCAATTGGTTGGTATTTCTATGACTAGTTTCTGAGGTTGCTAATGCCTATACTTTTGAGTGAAATTCAAGTCAGTCTGGGATCTCTTTCCAGCATATTTTCCTTCATCCAGGAGGCAGTGAGGTCCTTCGAGCATGGTTCTCTGAGAAGTGACTAGGCTCCAGCCCCAGCTTCCCCCAGGGAGCCCAAGGAAGAGGGGCTGGGAAGTTCTGCTTCTTCAGTTCCCCTGACCTCCTGGACAGATGTGCATTCACAACTCTTTGATTTTCTAGAGGAGTATGACATCGGAACTCAAGTGTCTGCCATTGTCGAGCGAAAATATCGGACCTCAAAGCCGGAGCCCAGCACCAGGCAACAGTTCCTTCAGTGTAAGTTGTGAAGCACTCCCCTTCCCCAGGTGTTGGCGTCAGTGTAATGCTTTGCTGAAGTAAGAACTCCATCTCTCACGTAAGTTTCAGGTTCTAGCAACCTCGAGTCTATCCCTAAAGGCCACATTTTTAAATTTTAATTTTTTTGCTTTCTAACTTTTCATTTTGAAACAATTTCAAACTTACAGAAACTTTGCAAAAACAGAACAAAGATTCCCATATACCTTTCATTCAGTGTCTCCTAACACATTACATAACTACAGCACATTGATCAAAACCAGGAAATGAACGTTGCTACACTTCTATGAACTAATCTACAGAATTTACTCAAGTGTCACCAAGTCTTCCAACCAATCTCCTTTTTCTGGCCCAAAGTCTGATCTGGGATCACAGAGTTTCCATGTCTCCTTAGTCTCCAATCTGGGTCCAGGCCCTTAGTCTTTCTTTGTCCTTCGTGACCTTCCTGACTTTTGAGGATCCTGGCTAGCCACCAAATGGTTCCCTTTTAAGTCTGACTTGGCTAGAATTGCATAACCCATTGTCCTGTCCTTAAGCGGTATTGTTCTGGTCTGTTAGCATTTTAAAAACACTATTTCCAATCAACACATCATTACGGTTAACGAGCGGGTGGGGTTCCATCTCCTAGTAGGGAAGGACTATGGCTGTGTAGTCACGGCTCATTTTTCTGACATTTTTGGAACATGTCATTGAACCCTGCTTCTGCTTGTTTTCTGGGGGTAACCAGTGGCTAACTCCTGGACCCCCTTTTCTCCTGTTGTTTTGTGGAGCCTCAGGTTCTGATGATTATCTCCTGTTCTTGCCACAACCCCTACTTCTTCCCAGGACCTCTTGGCTTCCACACAATTTCTTTTATTTATTCTTTCCTGCTTCCTGACAGAAGTACATCTCTATTTTCCAAACAGATATAATTAGTACAAGAAGCCAAACACCTTTTATTCTTAACATTAAAATAAAAATGAAACATATCCTATGATAACGTCGACTGAAATAAAGAGTCTAGGTGACATTAGTGAACGAGTTTTCTCAATAATCAGCTTGAGGAGTTCGAACCCTGGGAAAACAGTCACGCAGAGCGCTCTGATGGAACTGCTCCGAGGGGTGTGAGGTTAAGTGCAGATGATATCTCTTTCAAAAACAGGGTATGTGCAGAGAAGAGGACCAGAGAAAAACCTTACAACTAGATTTAAAAAAGAGAGAGAGAGAGTACATCTGGGCTTTTCTCTAGGTGACACATTGAAGGTAACGTAAACAAGAATTCCTTGGTTGTGCATCAAACAAGTTCCGAGATGCTGACGTCCTCTGTGTTCTCTATGTGTGGAGGGGGCAAGGACCAGGGTCCCTCATTATTCCCTCAATCTCTAAGAAGTGCAGCTGGGAAACGGGAGAGCGAGGTGCCCTCTGTCTCTGCTGCTGTGGATCTGTCCAGCTGCCGTCCTCGGTCGTGAGGTGTGGGGCTGCAAGGACGCTTGACACAGGCTGAAGATGGCCTGCGCGGCTGCTCCACAGGACAGCGTGGATTCTATTGTACTGACTTAAAGCCTGTGCAGTCTTCTTGTTAGACTCGCCTGTTAGACCAGGGAGAGGGGTCCCAAAAATCTGTCCACAATCATCTATCCTCTTTTGCATTACAAATGTCTTTTTTCACACACTATATTAACTTTTTCTCTTTGAATATTGTTATAAACTTTTAGCCTTTTCTACACTCAGATTGTTTCACTGGTCAAAGTTCTGCGGCTCAAATTGCCTGCTTGACCAGTGGAAGCCACTTGTAAGCTAGCCTCTTTCTCCTTTAAGCATTGACATTCTGGCCTTGACACTCTTAAAAGTATCATTGCTTTCTGGCACTAGCAGAATGCTCCAGGACCATTCTGGTTCTCTTGTCCCGAGACATAGTATCACCTGTCCTCCTAGGTGTCCTGGGTCCCCTTAGATGAGAAGAATCCTATTGTTCAACATCTGGATGCTGAGGATTCCCGAGGACTTGGCGGTGGCTGCGGCGCCGCTGCTGCTCTTGGGGCCACTTTTAGTAATGGAGCCGCAGTCTGTCTGCCCTGATGGTCCTCAGTTCACACTCATTTTTCCTTTGAACTATTGTAAGCTTGTTTTCTTCTAGGATGTGGTTTCATTGACTAGTAAGAATTTCTCTTACCAAAAGAGTTTGGAAAAGTCTGGGTTAGAATAAGATACTTTTTAAATTTAATGGATCTTTAAATAGCCTTTAATATGCTAATTCATTTGGCAAGTGTATACTGATCATCTCCTCTGAGCTAGAACTCCGGAATAGAGTCCTACATAAAATGTGGAACTTACAGACTGGAAGGAGGACAGGCGTGAAACAAACACACAACTAAATAGATTACCACGGTGGTGAGTCCCATGAAGGTTAGGAAGCCACGTGCTCTGAGAGGCAGTGATGGGAAGGCATCTGATTCAGATTGGGCAGCTGTGGAGGGCCTCTCTGAAGACATGGACTCAGCCACAACCGGAAAGATCGGTGGGAATGACCCAGACTCAGATTAGGGTCACGATCATGTTGCGGAGTGTGTCTGTGCTGAAGTCCTGAAGTGGGTCTGAGGTCAGAGTGGCTGGAGTGTGGCGACCAAAGGGGAGAGGATAGGAGACGAGGCTGGAGACACAGGCAAGGCCAGTCATGCAGGCAGTTCAGGTCGGAGTGAGGGGTCACTGCTTTATCGTACGAGCAAGGGGCACCATTGTAGGGCTTTAAGCTGAGGCGACATGATTCACCTTAGCCCACACCTTGAAACAAGCACTGTGGCTCTGTCGTGGAGAAGGTATGGAAGGGGGGCAAGGAGAAACACAACCAGGGAGGAGCCTATTGCACTAGTCTGGGCGAGATTTGGTGGTGGCTTAGATGAAGCAGTGGGCCAGAGAGAAGCAGGTGGATCTACTGGGCTTGCTGCTGCCTTTGTGTGTGTGTGGGACAAGTCAGGTGGGGAGGATGAGGGCAAAGAAGTGTCAAAAATAATGTTAGTGTGCCTTGAACAACTGGGTGCATGGAGGTGCTAATAATCTCTTGACTGGGAAGAGAATACGTGTGGGGACTGTTTGAGAGTTCAACATGCTAAATATACGTCCAATAAAAAAAGGAAAAACCAATGAATGAATCAAATGTGGATATATTAGTGCCTATTTCCCCGAGCCCTCGCCAACACTAGGTACAATAGCGTTTCAGTACGTATTTGTTGAATGAATGAATGAATGAATGAATGAGTGAATAAATGGATTTTAGTTCTCAATTCAGTTCAGCAAATAATACATTAATGCCAAGCAATTTGATCTTCAGAAAGGAGGAAAGTGGAGTGACTTGTTAAAAGGAGTGTGAGACCGTTCAAAATGTATGTGTCTGGGTTTCCCCACCAACCAATTCTCTGCGACACTGGTTGGGTGTCCTACAGTGCAACTCAATCTGACACTACCTGGAGACAGCGTCAGATCCCACAGGTTAAGGGCTCAGTCCCACAAGACCGCCCGTTACTTCAGATGCCATTCACAAGTAGTGGGTCCCCAGATCACCCACAACTTCTGTCCAATTTGGCTACAAATTGGAGGTTCCCGTGATCCCCTCCTCAGGTTCAATTAATTTGCTAGATCGGCTCACAGAACTCAGGGAAACACTTAGGTTTACTAGTTTATTTCTTTATTACTTTTTATTTTTATTTATTTATTTTTGAGGAAGATTACCCCTGAGCTAACAGCTGCTGCCAATCCTCCTCTTTTTGCTGGGGAAGACTGGCCCTGAGATAACATTCATGCCCATCTTCCTCTACTTGATATGTGGGATGCCTACCACAGCATGGCTTGCCAAGTGGTGCCATGTCCGCACCCAGGATCTGAACCGGTGAACCCTGGGCCACTGAAGCGGAACGTGTGCACTTAACCGCTGCACCACCAGGCCAGCCCCTAGGTTTACTAGTTTGTTAAAGGATATGATAAAGGATACAGATGAATAGCCAGATGAAGAGAAACACAGGGTGAAGTCTGAGAGGGTCCCGAGCACAGGAGCTTCTGTCCCCATGGAGTTGGGGTGTGCCGTCCTCCTGGTGTGGATGTGTTCACCTGCCTAGAAGCTCTCCGGACCCCCTACTACTGGGATTTTTACGGAGGCTTCATCGCATGGGCATGACCAATCATTAACTTCATTTTCAGCCTTTCTAACTTCTCAAGAGAATAGAGAGTGGGACTGAAAATTCCAAGCTTCTCATCATGGCTTGGTCTTTCTGGTGACCAGTGCCCATTCAGGAGTCATCCGGGAGACTCCCCCGCCCCCCCGAGTCACCTCATTAGAACAAAAGACACTCCTATCCCCAGGAAATTTCAAGGGTTTTCAGGAGCCCTGTGTCGGAAACTGGGGGACAGAGATGAAACATTAGAACAAAGATGCTCTTAGTGCTCGTATCACTTAGGAAATTCCAAGAGTTTTAGGAGCTCTGTTCCAGGAACTGGGGGCAGAGACCAAATATATATTTCTTATTATAAATCACAATGTCACACTTGTGTTCTCTGTTTTCTGGTTTTCACCCACCTCTTTCCCAGGCTAACAGTGGCCTGGGTAAACAGAGAACAGGAGATGGATGTTTTCTCACACTTTGGAGGGTGGCCAGGTTTGAAGTGTTCTGTCTGAATCAGATGTTTGTTCATAACCCGCTCTTCCTGCCTTCTGTATCTCCTCAGATGCGTGTGACATCGTGTTCGACCCCGACACAGCACACAGGTACCTCCGGCTGCAGGAGGACAATCGCAAGGTCACCAACACCACGCCCTGGGAGCACCCCTACCCGGACCTCCCCAGCAGGTTCGTGTACTGGCGGCAGGTGCTGTCCCAACAGAGCCTGTACCTGCACAGGTACTATTTTGAGGTAGAGATCTCCGGGGCAGGCACCTACATTGGTCTGACCTACAAAGGCATTGACCGGAAAGGGGAGGAGCGCAACAGTTGCATTTCTGGGAACAACTTCTCCTGGAGCCTCCACTGGAATGGGAAGGAGTTCACTGCCTGGCACAGTGACACGGAGACCCCGCTCAAAGCCGGCCCTTTCCGGAGGCTGGGGGTCTACGTCGACTTCCCGGGAGGGATCCTCTCCTTCTATGGTGTAGAGCCTGATGCCATGACTCTGGTTCACAAGTTTGACTGCAAGTTTTCGGAGCCGGTCTACCCTGCCTTCTGGCTTTCCAAGAAGGAAAACTCCATCTGGATTGTGGATCTGGGAGAGGAACCTGAGAAGCCAGCGCCAACTTCAGCGGAGGCTGCTCCCTAGACTCCAGGATCTGTATCTGAGACTTTTGCTAACCACAAAGATGGGGCAGCAATTTGGATTTTAACAGCAACTTGGAGGCAGAAATCTCTGCCAGTGGTGGGTGGCTTAGAAATCGTATGGGTCCCCGAGTGAGGAGAAGTGTCTTCAGCTTCTCCCTGTTGCCCCATGCTGCACTGTTCTCCATATATTTGTAGTAATCCTCAGGCGCCTGAGTCTCTTTCATCATCTTTGAGTGATATTCTGCTGTTCGGTAACCAGGAATCTTCAGAGCGATCAGAAAGATTTCAGAGAAATCATAATAAATTCCTAACTGATTTGTCATTTCCTTTGTCCCGGACACTGATCTGAGGGCTTCCCGTGCATTGACTCAACCCTCACAGAGGCCCTGTGGGGTAGATGCTCTTATCATCTCCATTTTGCAGATGGGAAAATAGTGGTCTGGGGGGTTAGTTAGCTTGCTCAAAGCCATTGTGGTGACATGGTGAGTGAGTGGCAGAGCTGGGAGTCAAACCTGGGCAGGCTGACGCCGGGATTTTAAGACCACACCGTGCTGCCTTCCTCATTAGATCATGGGTGCTGTGTGTAAGGGAAGAAACTACACGATGAACTACATGGCCTGGAAAGTGAGTGTCTTAAACACTCAGTCTCTTTGTATCCCCACATCTGACTGGCCCATGCAGCTGTGCAGCGGCAGAGAGCTCACTCCCTCACACAGCTGCTCCTCCTGTGTTTGGACAGTGAGGATTAAAAGAAATGTCTTAACAGAGTTCAAGTCTCAGTCCCTGTGACCTGTGGGGAGGGGTCTCATTTCTCTCTTCTGAAGTCACGTGGACTTGTCTAATTTCTCATTCAAAGGACAGTTCTTCAAATATTTGAATGCAGTTCTCACACACGTCCTCCTGGGATGTATTCTTGTTTCCACACTCTGTTTCCCACTTTCCTTCATGGTTTCCAGACCTTCCACTCCCCTGATCATTTCATCCTTCTCTCGGCAGATGTGCTGAGATTAATGGTGAATATTCATCAAGCCGTTAGGTAAATGATAAGCATATTTAAATGGGTTTCTGGGGACATAACCTGAAGCCCTGTCAGGCCGCACCAGAAAAATAACTCTGGGTCTTTTCCTGTGACCTGTGTCAAGGCAAGTCTCTTCCTCTTTGACCAGTCTGATGGGCCTGTCTCGAGAGTACTTCAGCATTACTCGTCTTGTGTCCAGAGGCTGTGCCTTTTATTTGTATGAGGACTTATACAGTGTAAGATTTGCATTTTTAATTGAATTTTTTACTTTTTAATTTTGTAATTTGAATTTCATTGAATTTATTTTTTATTTGAATTTTTAATTTCATCACATCATTGCTGCTTGCTGAGAACGTTTTGACTCATGATTCCACATCCAATATATTTGCTCTCCTTCCTAGCCTAGTGTCACCTACAGAATTGGTAACCTTTTCTTCTTACGTCTTAACCTTGTTAAGACGTATCATGATTAGGGTAGGGCCAAATATAGACTCTCTCAGCTCTCCGTCAATACCCTTTGGGTTTAGTTACTCTCTAAGTTGCGCATCTGTAGAACTGTGCAATAATGTAGCCCACCTCTTCCCCTTTTCCACTGGATGTAATGAAGGACTGTTCAGTGGCAGAGATCAAGATATGTTACGTCTGCTTTTCCTTGCTCTGCCTGTCTAACAATCCTCTCGAAAGAGAAACTGAGGTCAGCTTGGCCTGCTTGATTTTTATCGAACCCTTGTGGGTCATTGGTGCTTGTTACTTTCTTTTCTAAATGCTCCCAAAATATCTGATAAACCATTTTAGAATTCTGTTGTGGATGAACACCAAGTTGACTAGTCTGTTGTTTCTAGAATCTACCTTATTTTTCTTTTAAAAATCAAGACAGTTCTGCCTGCCCTCATCCTTTACTGTTCTCCCTAATTTCTTGGAGGTTACTGCCTGGACTGGAGTCTCGTTGGTAATTGTGGCAGTGCCGTGAGACAAAATTTGTTTATGCTGGAATACTTGACTCATGTACAAGGAACCCTTACCTGTCTTGAACTTCATTTCCTTGTCCGCCCTTTTTGTCCACTTGTTTTCAGGTTCAAGACCTTCCTTTTTGATAGAAAAGATCAGAGCAAAATTGAGAGTAGGGAATGTTTGCTTTCTTTCTGTCATTGCCTCAAGTGATAGACACATCTTTTTTACTTTTTCTTGGTCTAAAAACTGAAAATTGCCTAAAACAAACAAATAAAGAAATTAAACAAACAAAAAAAGAACAAAGGCTTATTTTATATTCTCTGTCATTTCCCCCAAGCTGTGTGTGTCACTCTCCTGTATTTACCCACTTCTATTTCCTCTCCCATTGTGCAGACTCATTTTGAAAAAAAAAAAAAATCTGAACTCATCCAGAGCTCTTCTTGGTGCCGGACTGTTTTTTTCTATTACTAGACCATTTGTGACTGTAGAGTCAGAGTGTAATTTTAGCCATGACATAATTTATTCTTGTCTCAATTTTTTGAAGTCCCAGGGCATATGGCAATGTCCTCTAGGAATCCTATGAATTCTGAGTCAATTCCCACATTCTCCTGGGATCAGTGTTGAAGTGATGAGGTGTGAGTACTGGCACAGTCACGGGGCCCTTACGTCTTCAACCTGGTTCAGCATGTTTTTGGAATGACTGTCCTCAAATCAAATCGATTCAATGTATGTGACATTTATAACGTGCGAGCCACTGTGCTAGGTACTAAGATAGAGTCACCCGGAAGATAACAAGCTGCGTCTCTTGATCACAAAATGCTCATTTAAATTGAAAATTGTTCGTACGTGAAGAGCTAAATAGGAATCTACTATTCAAGAGGATAACAGATGAGGTAGTATACGAAATGCATTCCTCGTTTCCATGTCCCGGTGCCCTGCTTCTAATTTAACATTTTCTCAGGTCATCTTCAGTGACTGCAGTGTCATTGACCGACCTACTCCCTGATTGCTTCTCGTCTCTACAACCCGCTGCTGCCATTCCAGGGGCTCCCACACCAGTCCCATTGGCCTCAGACAGAGGCCGGAAGGAAAGGCAGTGCCCACACTTCCTGTTTCTCCGAGTTCCCTGGGATTTGGCACTGAGTCCCCTCCCTCCACACCCGTGATGAGAACGGGGAGCAGATGGCCTTCGCAGGGAGGGTCCCTGTGCCATGTGGGGTACACGTGCAGGGCAGCCACTGTGTACAGCTCAGGAGAGTGACTGGCCGGCCAGGCTTTGCTGGGATATGCGTAGTCTTTATCTCTATTTCTGGTTTGCTCTGTCGTCTTGTCGAGAAAATATCACCATGTCCTGGAAGGAAGGAGGCCAGGTACTGGAAAAGAAGAGGTGGAACAGGTCATCTAACAAGGACTGAGGGTCAGCACAGCAGTGGACAGCCATTTGGGGTTAAAATCTTTTCCTCCAAATTAATAACTTGTGTGGTGGCCCTGATGATTACCTGAAAAGAGGTATGCATGTGTATATATGTGTGTGTCCCATATAAAAAATATAATCTTCAGGGGCTGGCCCCGTGGTGGAGTGGTTAAGTTTGCACATTCCACTTCAGTGGCCCAGGGTTTCGCCGGTTTGGATCCTGGGCACAGACATGCCACCGCTCATCCTGACATGCTGAGGTGGCAGCTCACATAGCACAACCAGAGGCCCTCACAACTAGAATATACAACTATGTACTGGGGGGCTTTGGGGAGAAGAAGGAAAAAAGAAAGCAGATTGGCAACAGAAGTTAGCTCAGGTGCCAATCTTTAAAAAAAAAAAAGAAACTTCAAAAATGCTACCAAGCTGCGTAAACTGGGATTAACCCCTTATACTATCTCAGCCACTTTGAGCTAAAGCAATTCAGTCTTTGCAGCCTTTTCAATTATAACGTGCTCTCCAGAAGCTTACATGAAAACCCATCATCTTCTCTTCTGTTCCAGCCATGCCTCTCAGCCCCTCCTCTCCTCCTCCTGCTCTTCCTTCTCCTCCATCTTTGCTCCAGACAGTTTAAAGCTTAACTTTGAAATTAAATTTTATTTCCTCCGGGATGCTCCGGGCTTTATGCTGTGATCCTGAGACAGTGTGACTGGCTTGGGTGTCAGGTTGCTAACCCTGCCCTGGCACACCGGGCCTCACAGCTGGAAGCTCAGAGAAGCCCAGGTGGGGTGGCAGGTGTGGTGGGAGATGGGGATTGCCCTAGGGGTCCCCATGCAGAGGTCCACGCAGAGGCGGGCTCCTGGTTTGTTGTATCCACCTTTCTCTGGGGGAAAACTAGGATACTTGGTTCTGTGCAATCAGCTTATTTGTCATATTAGTTGGTTAAATAAATTTAGAGTGGAACAACAACCCAAAAAGTAAGAGATCTGCTCATTAGTAATTTCGTTTACTCTTGAGCAACCAGTGTTTCCATTCGGCAATATTGTGCATTTCATTGTTCTCGTCCTTCCTTCAATTTCCTTTTCCTTTTTCTTTTTGTCAAATAAATTCTGTGCTTACCTCAGTGGCCACGGCTAATACTGGTCGGGGTCAGGATCCCACGCTGCATCCCATTTGGAGGGATGGAGACAAGGCTGCCAGGGGAAGACTACCCTTCTTAATCTTTTTTTTGCATTTTCTCTCCATCTCCTCTTCTACCACTCTTTCTCTCTCTCTTTTCTTTCTCATTTCTTCTACTTATGCTGTTCTTGACCTGCTCCTCAAATTGGCCTCTAGGACTCTAGGGTTTCTTGGTCCCCGTCTCAGAGAAGTGAATATCCAGCTTCACCCCAGACCACCGAGTCCTGCTCCCACTGGAGTGTATTATTTGTCACTGTAGTTTCCATCAGTGCAGCCTTCAACGTGGGCATTCTGCCAGTGGTATTTGGCTATCTCACGTAACCATTCTGGGCCTCAGTTTCCTCGTCCATAAAATGAGGGGCGTGGGACTCCCCACGTGTCTCTCAGAGCACGTCCAACCCTGAAACCTAGACCTGTTCTTATTTACAGAACACCAGCGGTCACTTGTTGCACCCTTCACCAACAGATCATGTGTTCATCAATGACAAATGCATGGCTCGAGCCTATAAAAGCTACTAAAGCTACTGTAGCAGAATTTTTAGGACCTATGCAAACATAAAGCAGACAACTGTCACACAGGAGTCATCACTAGCCCTGGCAAGTCCCTGAGCACAAATAAGAACGGAGAGTAGCAGATTCAGCTGGTCAGACACAGCCGACGTTCTAATTCTCTCTCTCTCTCCTAATCCCCCTCTGCCTACCATATTTGCTAAAGTTTTGCTGAGGTCGTCAGATTCCTCTCCAAAGCTTAGATTTTTTAAGATTAATAAGAAGTAGAAAGGGCTTTAGCATTTTGAGTACTAGTTTTAAACGTCATTTCTTATCTCACTTCATCTTTGCAGCCCTGTGAGATGGATAGTATTTTCCCTATTTCATAGACAAAGATGAAAAACTGGCGGCTCAGAGAGGTTTAAGTTACTTGGTAAAAGACACTCAAAAATAAGTTTTGAAAGAATTAAGTATTAGTGTTTATTTCTAAAATGGAGTTATGTTCATAGATTGTGAGACCAGAGCACAGCTTACATCAGCGGTTCTCAAAGTGTGGTTTCCTGACCAGTATCAGCACCGCCTGGGAGCTCATCCATAATGCAGATTCCCAGGCCTCAACCTAGACCTCGAATCAGAAACTCTGGGGGTGGGGCCCAGCAATCTGTGTTAACAAGGCCTTCAGGGGATTCTGACACACACACACGCACACATGACACACACACAGAGACACACAAACACACATTCTTAGGTTTGAGAACCATTGGTTTACATCTATCTATTCTCTTTAACCTGTTCTGTTCTTCAACTACCAATAGCAAGTGACTGTGAGTTTTAGGACAAGTAGGGAGACGTTTTGGCCACCAGAGGAGTATTCTATCTCCTTGGAGATTCAGCTATTTTAGCTAAGTTTAGAATTTTTTTGTGCTCTCCTGGTTCTCCCCCTTCTGGAGAATAAAACATTTCTAGCCAATGCCCTTGCTTCCCCACCTGCTTCTTTTAAAGTCAAAGAGCAAACTGGCAACCTGGAAATTCATGGGTTTCTTGTGACCAAAGACTTTTCCTGTTTAACTTTGCCAACAAGTGTAATACCACATGATGGGAAGGTGATGGATAAAACATGACAGTTTTCCCACTTTCCCCAATGATAACAATACTTGTATAGCTTTTGACATGTTATAAAATGGGTTTTCAAATACATTCATTCATTTGACCTGTAGGGGAGGAAGATGTTTCCTCTACCCACTCTGGGTTCTTCTGGCTGGGGAACGAATTAAATTCACATGAGACAGAATAACAGGAGAAAATTAAACAAAGTTTTATAATATGTATACATGGGAGAGGCTCAGGCAACCTGAGCTACTCAACTTGCCAAAATGACCAAAGCCACCACCTTAAATATCATCTTCAGCTAAAGACAAAGGAGGATGTTGGGGGTAGCGGAGTCAGTTGCAGGAAGTTACCAGACAAGTACAGTCAACAGGAGTAAGATTATTATGCAGATTTAAGTCCTTGCCTTCTGCATTGATTAAGAGTTTCTAGAGATAAGGTCATCCCCCCTTCTTCCTGGTATAGAAAGGGAGACACCTTTACAGATGGAGATTTCCCTTACAAATGTAAATGTCTCTTGACAAAGGGTAAGTAAATTCTACTTTTCAGTTTCTTTCCTGTCTGCAGTTTTTACAAGTAACCAGCCCAAAATAACCCTCATGCCAAAGAGACATATCTTGGGGTGGCCAATTCCAGTCCCCCACAGACCCTGACACCCACCTGTGACCTAGGTGGAATTATGATTTCATTTCACAGAAGGGGAGCAGGCCGAGAGCAGCAGGCACATTGTCCAGGGGCAATACTGGCTCTACCGCAGAGCCCAGCTTCACTCCACACCCTCCCACTCCAGAACCTCAGCCCTGTTCTGACTTCTGCTGGCTGAGCCAGGGCAGTTGGCTGTGGGTGGGAATCAGCCAAACCTCACGTGCAACGTCAGGCAGGACAGCAGGGCCAGGTGCGGGTGTCTGGCCTTCCTGATCAGATGCTCCTCTGCTCTTGCCTTTTCTCTAGATAGCTCTTCAGATAGAAGAGGTTGAGCTGTTAGAACTGCTCTCATTCCCAGCTCTCCTGTCCCCACCTGACCCTTGTAGGAGACTGCCATTGCTGACCAACTCCAGCCGTGATTTCCATTGCCTTTCTCTAACTGCCAGGTCTCTGGACGCAGGCACTAGAAGCGGTCACAGTACTGCAAACCTTTTAGTTTAACCTAGGGCAATGACAATAACCATAACAACAACAGTGGCAGTGACAACTGGTCTCACACATTTGGTCTAATCCTAGAAGGTAGCTGTAATTTTTATTAC